CCATCGCACTTCGGTTCTCGGATCATGGTTGTTTACCTGAGCTGAACTGAATTGTGTTCGGTCAATTGTCACAACACCGTTCACTGCCACTAGGCATCCATTGAAATCGGTCAACCTATCCAACTTATTGCATAATTACGCCGCATCTACGAATTAGCTCACAGAAATAATCACTGTTCACATGTTTTCCGCACAGGCGCAGCTTCAATACCCCATTACTATGCAGTTTGACGTGACAATGGTGTTTTGGAAGCCCTGCATGACGTCCAGTGTCACCGTACTTATAAGCTACAATATTGTTATCCTTTGTAACCCTCAGGTTACGAGTCTCTTTGATAGTCGATGTCTGCGAAATGTCACCAAGATTAGGGGGGATAATCTGGTGGTACCGAGGTGTGCCAGTTTCACTTTCGCAGCAATCCGTCCTTTCCCTTGCTAGCGTGTCTGTTTGACATCGTCTATGCTGACTAGGCCATATCCTTAGCAGCCTTGTTGATTTGCTGCTCCAGCGTATATTACTTGCTATTGCTTGTTGGAAAGTATCATTATTCCTTTCGATAACGCGGGGAAAATACATGAGTTGTTCGAAAGCTTTGGTTGGTCTGCTGCATACTCTTCTTTTGAATGCGACCTCGATACTGCTCACATTGGGCGTTTGACACCTTACATTGGTTGGTGTTTTCGGGAGGACGGCACTAGCAGTCGATCCCTGCTTCTCTTGCTATTGACTTTTTCATCTTCTCCGATAGAGTTTTCCGTATGTGTAGCTGTCTGGAGATTACCCAGTTTGCCTGCGTAAAATCCTAACTACAATTATTACTTCATTCCACACGGGCAACAGTTGCAGATTGTTGTACTGGTTGTTGAGTTCTATTGCTTTCGTCGAACTTCGCCTTTTCTTGGCACTCGTTTCGTTTGCAACGCGCGCTCTCTCCCGTGTGGTGCACTTTTTCGTCAACGGTGTTTTTATAGCTGCATCAACGAGGAATATTTTACTGCACACAAAAAACCTCGATCTGCCTTTTGGAATCGCTATCTGCGCCCCCGCCAAATGTGTTAGCGTTTCTATTTGCCATTTTGTCGTCCATCGCAATGAGGCTGGACCTTACTCTGTTGCGATGGTTTGCGTGCCTCAGCTATCCATTAAGCTATGCCAGGTGGTGCTTTTATGCACATCCAGAGTCACTCATACCTGATTAGTCAATGTCGAGCGGCCAGAGAAACTCGGTCTCCTGGTCTTCCATGTTTGCGGTTGGAGTGAACGTGGCTCCTTATTCCTCAAAACGGACTCTGTCTTCCATTGCGTTACGGTCAGGTTTTCGAACCAAGGATTTGGTTGAAAACCCTAATCGTTCTCCTGTCTAGGCCTGAGTACCTTGACAGTATCCTGCCAACGCTACACTATAGGTCTTTCCTCACACAATTTCTTGATCCTCTGGCCATCGCAGAGGATAATCAACAGCGCCCTATCTGCTGCATCAGGCAACGTGGATGGATGTTTGGATGCCACTGCTCAAACCTCCCCGTCCTCTTATACTCCCTCTCACGCATTTTCACCCGTTTCGTCCCGTTCTGACTTTACTTTTATCCCTTCCTGTTTTCAACCCCAAATTTTTCGCCCTTCCCACGATACTTTGATAGGCTTTTATCTTGTAGTTTCAACTCATGCAAACGCGTAGCGCTATTCTTATCCTGTCGACAAGCCTATTTCTAACCAAGCGGTCAAGCCTAGTTCATCGGCTTCTATCTGTAACTCACGACCCTCCCTCAAATTGGCATGCCTCAACGTACTCCCACTGTTACAGATCGGCCAACAGGCAACACTTGCGCGAACATTAGAGACTTACTCGATCAATATCTGCTGCTTATCGGAAACCCGCCTACAAGACTCGAGCTCTGTTCTCACTCTGCTGTCCCCTTCAGGTGACACTAGCAATACTATCCGGAGACGATGCAGCTCCCAGTGCCGGCGAAACTGGCGTTGGTATTGTCCTGAGTCCCCGGGCTGAAGCTGCTCTGGTTGTTTGGATCCCATTCAGTATCCCAGTGTGTGCGGTCTGACTAGCTGGTTCGTTCCAAACTTCGAAATCGCGGCGAGCTAATCGGTGTCTGTTTCTCATCGCTGCCTACACCCGCACAAATGTAGCGATGTCTCGGTAAAAGATGCCTTCTATCCCCAGCTGAACGAGCTCCTTCGGTACAGAAAAAGCATGGACACTAGTGTTGGCTGGAAATCAAGTTGGGAAATAGCTCATCTGGGTGGATAGCATGGTGTAGGCTTCCATAATGATAACGGTGAGCTGTTACTTCATTTGTGTGAAGACGCTCGCTTATTTCTTTCGAGCATTAACTTCCGACACCGCATTTGTCGAAGCATGACATGTCGCTCACTCGCCTCGAACCAGCCATGGACGCAACTCGATCACACCGCGATCATTTATCGTTCGAGAGGCTGCGTCCAAAACTGTCGCTCGATTTGGCGCACTTGTATGGACACTGAACATGTGCTTGTGTGTGCTGATCTGCGGATACGTTTTGATGAACGCCCTCAATGACCCTGTGAGCGCATAGACACCAGTCGACTGGCGAAGCCAGCTGTTCTGAATACACCTTGAAGTACGCTGGCCTTCGAGTTGATCAAGCGCTCACTGAATACCATTGAAGGTCACTGGTCGCATGACTATCAGACCTTACTAGCAGCAAGTAAATCCAAAAGCCAACATGGACATTGGGTCTTTTCGCGTTCTCTGGCGCATATCGATGCTCTCCGGCACGTTCCGGCTGGAAGTGAACACAAGGAGACTCACAAAGAGCTCCGGGCAAAACTCCGTGCTAGCATGAAGAGAGACCGCGAATTTTGGTGATCTCTCCGTGCATCAGAGATGGAAGTGGCCGCTGCCCTTGGTAACCGTCGGAAATTATCCCGTCAGATGCGGGAATAGGGAAGCAGCAGACTTGGTGTTAGTGAAACTATACGTGACGAGAGTGGACAGCCTATTCACAACTTGTCAAAACGTTTAGAGCGTTGGGCTGAGCATTTTGAAAGGCAATTTAATCGCTTGGACTTGTCAGATTTCCTACCGGCCATTGATAACTCTGCTCTCTGGGCTGTCCCTTTGGATACGCTTTCTCGTTCAGAAGTCGAACGTGAGATCAGACTGTTGAAGTTTTAAATAAAGCCGCGTCATCTGGCACTTTTCATCCAGCCGTCTTCAAATTTTGGGGCTCTGCTCTTGTTGACGATTCACACGAGCTACTAGTGAGACGGCTGAAGCAGTAAACTGTCCCAACGTACTGGAAGCGCTCGGTCATGGTCCAAATTTTCAACGGAGGCTCACGTTCGGATTGCGGCAACCATAGATCAATCAGTCTGACCCCCATCACCTCCAAATTGCTTGCCTCTGTAATCCTTCATAGACTGACTAGCGCACGTGAAAGCCAGGTTCGTGAGGAGCGAGCAGGCCGGGTTTCCTCGGGATCAGGGATGCATCCAGCACATCTTCACTTTGCGTCAGTTGTTGGAGCTCCGTCAAATATATCGGTGGCCCACCGTTGTGTTCCTGGACATCAAAGGTGCCTTCGATTCGGTCGATCAATGTACCCTTTTTGGGACTGTCTGCTCAGGAAAGATGTGCCTGAGAAGTATGCAAATATTACCCGAACTCTTCACGCGCGTAGCTCTGGCAGAATGATGGCTTACGGTAAACTGTCGCCGCCCTTCGATATCTCCAGCGGTGTTAGATAAGGATGCCCGCCTTCACTTTTCCTCTTCAACTTCGCCATTGACGAAGTCATGGGAATCGCGTTCACAGGACACGACTAAAAGGATGTGGAGCTGCTTGCAGGGGACGGCTTCTTGACTTAGATTATGCTGACGATATTGCCATAATCTGTGACAACTCACTAACGTGCCAAGCAGCAATGGACAGATTAGCCCTGGCTGTCTATCGTTTCGAGTTATGCTTCGCATCCTCGAAGTGCAAGGTTTTCCTCCAAGATTTGCAGGGACCTCCTCCTGCGCTCACGTAGAAGTTGTTCAAAAATTCAACTATCTGAGAAGTTGTATCAGTGTTCTTGGGATGGAAGATGAGGTCCCGAACCGTATAACAGAAGCAAGAAGTACTTTTGATAACCTTCGCCAGCTATGGCGCAGACGCGACATCACTATCTTCCTGATGTGTTGTGTATACAATGCAGTTGTACCTTCGACCCTACTGTACGGTTGTGAAACCTGACCCCTTAGATCAGCCGACATAACGAGGCTAGTTAGCTTCGACCACTGGTGTCTTCGTAGTTTGGTTCTTATCTGGTGGGCACACCGTGTGAGCATTGAGCGTGTTCGACGCCTTGTTTATGGCGCCGGAAGTAGAAATGAACAGCGCAGCACCGTCATTCCACACACCAAGCTCTCCGATGGCTCGTCCACGTGTTGCGCGTGCCAACCCGCCGACTCTCGCAACGTGCGTTGTTTGTGCGCCGGGGGTGCGGATGGAAAAAGAGGAGGGATGGCCAAACGATGACTTGGGTAAGAGGAGTGGAGGCCCTTACTTCGAAGTTGGCCTCGGTTGGAGCATCTCGGCTCCCTGGTTGGTTACCGAAGAACAGTGAACACGTTTGGCTGGAGCTGACTTTATTGGCGTTTGTATTGTGAGTTTCGTTGTCCCTCCTCATCCCGCTTAGCCTCCCCCTCCAACCACCATCACATTCATTAAGCATAACCCCTTTTTGCGACACAATCGCCGGTTGTTAGCTCCCTGAACGATGTCCATCCGTTATTAGTGACTCAGCCGGCGTGCTCCCGTTGCATGTATTTTTATTATTATTGCGGCACAATTGTTGTGTTGTCTTCCACCTGTACCCAACATGTATACTGATGATGATGATGATTACTATTTTCGTTTAGCTTGACTCAACATATGAATGCACCGATGATCACAGCTTTGATCATGATTAATTAATCGTTTTATTGAACGGGGCATGTTTCATTTTTCAACTTTTCAGTTGCAGCTTGCGGTATCCCATTTCTATGTTGAATCGAATCCTTTCGTCTAGCTCTGAAGGACCAGTGCAGTCCGATTCAAATCAGTTGCCCGGTCCCCTACGAAAATTCTTGATCTCTGAACAAAACAATGCTTCAAATATTCCAACGACCTCTTCATTGGAAATTGAATCGCAAGGGAAGCTTTCAACTTGGTTTGCTCTTTCAGATTCCGACCCTCTAATGCCTAATGGTCTTTCAAGACGTCAACGCCTGTTTGGTTTTGTTCTTTGTCTGCTTTCAGCCTCTTTTTGCCTGTGTCTGGCTATGGTTTTTATCCCGTTGCTATCCACCCCCTTCGGCATGCGAAAGTATGTCTTATTACATTCGATTGGAAGCATTCTGTTGCTTAGTAGCTTCTCTTTTCTTTGGGGACCATGGAATCATCTGAAGGGTTTGTTGGCCCCTCAACGATTACTGTTCACTACCGTATTTTTATCCAGCCTTTTCTTTTCTTTGTACGCGGTATTGGTATGGCAAAGCGCTGTCTGCGCCGCTTCCGGTTTACTCATGCAGATTTGTTCCGTCTGTTGGCAAGTTATTGCTTCCATTCCAGGTGGGCGAGCAGGTATCGGTGCCCTGGTTCGTAGTGGCGTTTGGACCGTCAAAAATGTTTCTCGAGGATTGCCCGTTTGATTGTCTTTTACTTGGTCACTTGAACTCTCCTGTGATTTTCCTATCCTTTTGGCTTTGTGTTTTATTCATTCTCAACAACAGGAGCGCAGTAGTGTTCTTCATTCTTGTACTCACATTACTTGGAGTTACAATTGCTAGCGGCAATTTGACCATTGCAGTACAGGCGATACTCTCTGAAAGCAGTTGCTATTCAATTCTAAGGGAGTTTTTACATCTCATCTACGCCTTGGCTGCCGCCACTTATTCCTGCGTATCTGTAATCAGAATCAAATATTTCTAACCGCTGTCGTTGCGGTCTTCGATTTCAAGCGCACCTTTAACTCATTTCTTTACGATCATATTCAAAGTGGGGATTTAATCAACTGAAATTAGTATCGAATGTTGTCAGCTGTCAATTCCACAGTGTTGCGAGCGGGCAATCAACGACATCAGTACATCAGCCATTTGAACTGATGCTTCACTGCCATACAACCATGATGACCTATGGAATAAAGAATAATAAGTGGGAGAGAAGGGGGACCTACCTGAAAACCTTAATGCCCTAAGCAAACATTCAGGGTCAAGGCGCCTACACCTTGTCAACAGCATACCGTCACAAAAAGCTGACTATGATACAAAGAAGAGGCAGTATCGGTGAGACAGCTTCCTTGTGGCTTTCACTGCCCCGCGTCATAATCAGCCATTACGCCGCAGATAACACCACACTTTAAACAGGCAATCCGACTGGGAGACAGCAGCGGACGCGCCACTGGTGTCAGTTGCGAGCCATGTCCTGTAAACTCTCGAGCCAAGCACAAGACGAATCACGTGGATTCTAGTCTGGAAGGCGAGACGGACCAACGGCACCCAGTTTGGTAGTCAGTGACTTCATTTCTCGCTGCCAAGTCAACTTCTGTTCCCCTCGAGCTTTGCACCATCCTACATCTGGCAGACTAAACAAGGCCCTATTAGGTAAGCGGTAACCAGACATAGGTAGCACGTGCCCAAGCCAACGCAACTTATTCCATGCTATCTGTAGTTCTAGAAAGCTAGCATGACTAACACTTCCTGGTACTCGCCTACGCACATCATCGTTGCGGACACGCTAGTGCCATCCGACACCAGCAATGCTTCGCAGACGACGATGATCAAAGACTTGAAGGCGCCTCAGATCTTCATACCGAAGGGGCCAACTTTCACTCCCATAGAGCAGGACGGTCCTCACTGTGGCCTTGTATACACGGCCTTTCAGACGAAGAGAAACTCCCTTCTGTCGCCAAAGATGCCGCAGGTTCAAGAAGGCGGTTCTGGCCTTTGCAATGCTTGGACTGACTTCAGTTTTTCTGCGCCCATCGTTGCTGATGCAGCTGCCAAGGTGAGTGAATTGATCAACTACCTCGAGTTCCTCCTTAGCAAGGGTCTAGAGTTCATGAAGTGGTCCTAAAGTAACTGCACTTTGAAGGTGCGAAGCACATTCCAACTAATGAGACCACTCTAGACAGGCTATTCAGGGTTGATTGTGCCGTCGCAACATCGTCGAAAAACAAAACGATATCATCCGCATAATCAAGATCAATTAATCTTTCACCAGGCAACACTTCAATGCCTACATCGTGAGGCTCCGTAGGGGAACACTCCATGATAGAGTCTACGATGAAATTGAACAAAAGTGGGGAAATAGGACAACCCTGACGAACGCCACTTGTGGTCGGAAAGTTATCCAGCAGGTCACCGTAAACCCTGACGCGGCCTGTAGTGTTCGAGTATAAAGCACGCGAAATGTTCACATATTTCGTGGGAACACCTTTCCGCGCAAGTATTTGGAACAGAATCGATCGGTCGACTGAATCGAACGCACTTTTGAAGTCGAGGAACACAACTATTGTCGGCCTGCGGTATGCGTGGCGCTGCTCTGGCATCTTCCGCAGAGTGAATATATGGTCTATACGGCCAGGTCCTGGGCGGAATTTTGCCTGCTCTTCCCTAATCCGAGATTCCCATTCCACAGTGAGTCAACGAACGAAAATCGAGGCCAGTAATTTTGTCGCGACTGGCATTAGGCTAATACCCCTGTGGTTGGAACAGTCTGTGCGACTGCCCTACTTGTATATTGCCACTATAATCGATTCGCTTCAGTTAGGCGGGACACTTCCTTTCAGATACGTTCAAATAGGAATGTCAGTGCTTTGCAGAGGACCTCACTCCATCTTTAAATCATGAAGGTGGGAAGGAATCCGGGGCAGCGGCACGAAAACGATTGAGGGCTGTGATCGCATTTCGGAACTCGGCCTCCGACGGAGGCTCTAAACTAACCGTCCATGGCTCGTCCTGCATCACCTGAGTAGGAAGAGGTCCGGGAGCAGGGGGCCAGCTGAACTGATCTTGAAAGTGTTCCGCCCAACGAGCCATACGGCGCTGCTTATTGTGTATCAGCGCACCCGCGCTGTCTCTGATTGTCTCACTGACGCCTGGTTTTCTGGGACCAGTGGTGCGGATCAGCTGGGAAAGCTTGCGGTAACTGCCTACTGCTCCTGCCTCCTCCATTTCTTGAGCCCGAGGGGTCCACCAGGCTTGCTTGTCAGCACTTAGGCTCTGCTTTAGTTCACGCCTAATAGCCCGTCTGGTCACATTGTGCTCGGATTCAGTCGGGAGGTTTCTTCTAGATTCTAACAAGTTCACCGACCTCTCGGATATCCAGTGACTGGTACGGTGACGATTGATAGTGCCACAAGCAGGTGTTACTGCGTCTTGGATGGCGGCCGACATTCTATTCCACTGAAGTTCAGTGTCATTAGGACAAGGCAGCGGAAGTTCGGTATGCAGTGCGTCCTGGTAGGCTTGCCTGACTGAGTGCTGAGACAATTTCTCCGTTGCCAATCGGAGGAGACGCTTGGTGCGCCTCCCGGTAAACTTCATGGAGAAACGCAGCGTACTAAGACATGATCAGAGTCGACGCAGGTATCCCAGTACGAGCGGCAATCCAGGATGGAACCACGCCACCTGTAACTTATGGCAATGTGGTCAATTTGGGTCCATCGCTGGCCAGCTACAGGAGGACGCCAAGTGGCGCTTCGGCACCCACTGTATCTAAAAGCAGCGCTACAAAGATACAATCGGTGCTCCGCACACCGTTGCAACAGACGCTCGCCGTTGTCAGTCCGTCGGAGTTAAGTCCATACTTACCACCCAGTTGAGCTTCTGAAGAGCTCAGACGCTCTACTTTTGCGTTCATATCCCCTGCAAGCACTATAATATCTGAACTAGTAGCACTGCGTACTGGCGCGTTCAGTTCGTGACAGAACGTGTCCTTGACAGCATTGGAACTACAGTCTGTGGGAGCATAAGCGGAAATCACAACCAAACAGCGTTTTTTACTACCTCGTGAATCAACTTTAGCTGATGTCGTCAAACGGGCTGCACATAAACGTCTGTTCACTGGAATCCAGTCGACCAACGATGGCTTAGCCTTAGGGTTAGTATGATACCTACACCAGCTTGACCCGTGAGTGCTGCATCGGCGTCTCCGGATGCGTGCAACCAATAATGAGTGGATAAGCCGGGTGCAATTAATTCAACAACCCTGTTAGGCTTATTGATCCTAGGTTCGGACACACAACACGCACACACCAATACCCAGTGTGTCCAAGGTACGTGCGAGTGCAGTCTGTTGACCTATTTATCTTAGATTGCGAACGTTGAACGCCGCCATGGAAACAGGACATCGTGAACTTATGAGGGACTTTTGCCGATGGGTGTTGTGCGAAGTTGGCTGCAGATTGTTCTACTCCAGTGGCACTTCGGTTGCCGGGAATTGTAGAAGGGAGGTTAGTCATGGGGGTCGGGATGGGAGTAAGAGAAACAGGTGGAAAAGGAAGAAGGGAGTCGCCATCAGTAACATGTTTTCGCTTATCCCCCCTGCTGTATGCAGCAGATAAGGCGACCCTTTATAATCTGCGCGACGGCCGATGGAGTTTATGTTTGAAGAAAAGTCATGGTTGTATGTGGGCTAAGATATTGCCAGCTCGCCCAGACCTAGACAGGAGGACGATTAGGGTCCTCAATCAAAGCCTTTGGCTCAAAAGCCTGTCTGCAAGGTAGCAGTGAGGTGGCATTGATTTAGTTTTACAGTACTTGACGCCATTCTATTTCAAACCCCCAACCTGGAGGACCAGGAGACTGAGTTTGTCTGATCTCTCACCATTGACCAACCTGGTAGGAGTAACTCTCAAGGGGTCTGGAGGCACCACCCAATATAGCTCAATGGGTCAAGGAGGTACGCAAGCCGTAGCACCACCTGAAGGTCCAGTCTCGTTGCGATGGATGCGAGCGGGCAATACTCAGATACGGTCTTAGTGAGCGGATTCACTTCGTAGTAAATCGCCGTCGAGATTAAGATTGCGCATCGCATTCCATTGGTGCTTCGCTGCTGTACAACCACGGTGAGCTAAGGAACGAAGAATAATAACGAACAAACATTCGGGGTCAAGGCGCCTACACATTTTGTACAACGAACTATCACAAGCAGCTGGCCATCTTGCAAATCTCAGGCGGCATCGGTGAGACAGCTTCCTTGTGACATTCGCTGCCCGCGTCATTATGAGCGATTACCTCGCAGATAACTACATCAAACGCACTTTAAGCATGCAGTCCCCTTAGAAGACGACAGTAGGCACACCACGGGTGCCGGCGGCGAACCATGTCCTGTTACGTCTCTAGCCATATACAACTTGGAAAGCGGGACATTCCGACGGCACCCAGTTTGGTCGTCAGTGATTTCCTTTCTCACTGCCAAATTAATTTTTGCCTCCCTCAGTCCTTACTCCTCCGTACATCTGGCAAACAGCGAAGCCCTCCGTAAGCGGTGATCGTCATTCGTAGTAAGTGCCCAAGCCAACGCAACCTATTCAGTGTTATCTGTTGTTCTAGGCGACTAGCTTTATGAACACTGTCTGGCACTCTCCTACATACATCATCGTTGTGGACATGCTAATGTGACCCGACACCAGCAGTGCTTCACAGGCAGCGATGATCAAAGATGTAAGGGCTCCTCATATCGAAAGGGCACAATCTTACTACCGCAGAGTAGGACGATCTTCACTGTGGCCTTGTATACACACTGCCTGTCAGACCGAGGGCAGCTCTTTTCCGATGCCACAGACGTTGCAGATTCAAAAAAGCGGTCCTGGCTTTTCAATACATGAGTTGACTTCAGCGCTTATGTGCCCATCTTTGATGGTGCGGCTTTTAAGATAGGTGAATTGATCAACTATCTCTTCTTCGCTTTCAAGGATCAAGG